TTTGCAAAATGTTAAATAACATAGGTATATAAATTTATTAAGTATCTTTACATCAAGAATTATTATTATTTATTACATTTCCATATAAATATATATTTTTAAAGTTTTAGCAAAAACAATTAAATATAATTGTCTATGAAAACTCAATTAATTTGCTTCTGTTAGCCGCTATACTTGTTAGTTGTGCTCATATATTTGCAGCTCAAATCACAGAACATTTCTATTATATTTCGTCTCTCCCCTTTGTGTGCAAAGAAGTTGGACGCACATTCATACGTTACATATGAACAAAATAATGTGCGTGTGCTCCCGTTCGTAATATCAGAAATAGAGATTTATATAGTGGGAATTGTATGAGAGTAATTTTCTGTTCTATTCGAATATCAACTGTATGCATACGAATCCAACATGATGATTTGCCAAAGTGGTTGCATGAGCGGCTGAAGTTTGCAGCTCATCTCACCATACATTTTTATCACATTTCGTCTCTCCCCTTTTAACAGCAGCACCCACGAATTTCTGTTCTTATTGTGCGGGGTACTTGTGCGCACATTGCAAGTGGTTTCGATTTTGTTTGATCACTGCACAAACATGTATGTTTCTAAGTACAAACTCTTTTGTTTGAAAAAATTTGGTTTGATGTTACGAGAATTATGTGAAAAGTTTTGTTTCTTCCATATTGATATAATATTAAACTTGTATGTAAATTATTAATTTAATTTGTTTAATATGTTATTTTGTTAATGAATTGTTAATATAATATTGCGAATATATTGTTGCCTTATATAATATAGTTATTATTAATAAAAGATCTCATATATTTTAATATAAGTGGTACATGTAAAAACAACATTAAAGAAGGGCCGCACACCCTTCCAGATAGGGCACGCGTCGTCACTGTCATATAGTGTACAAAGAATTCGGAATTATTGAATAAAACTTATGAACATCATACTCTAATCAAAATTTATTTAATTATAATAAATTAACGATTATTATAAATTAACGATATTATAAGTAATATAACTAAGGTAGCCATTGATATAAATCTCCACAAGTTTTGCGTAGTGTAGTTTATTTTTATTGCCACAATCGATTCAAAACTTTTTCGTTGAAGTGGGTATTTTAGTTTCGAGAACGGAAAAAAGGTTGAATAGGTCGTGTCAGGCGAGTACGCTGATTTGTCGTTCACATTCGTTGAACGATTACTTACGTATTTAAAAACTTTTAATAGTATTTAAACAATTTCGTTCGATTCTTATGGGGTATTATTAAAAGAAAAATTATAGATATTGGCTATATTTGGATTTGATGGTTGGCACGTGTTCCTCAAAAAAATAAAATTAATTTTTTACTTGAAATCTTTAAAATATTTTACGAATAAAATAAAAAGTATGAAAATATTCGGAAAGATATTTTGTTTATATAAAATAAAATAAAGTGTTGATATTCTGTTCCAATATACGTTGTCATCTCGCTGAAGGTACCATAATTCCACGATCATACAATTTATGTTCTTTACTTGCAAAAAACTGATTCAGTTAATTTTTG